AACTCCTGTTTCTGCCTCTAATATGTCTCTGACTAGACCTTCATGCCTAAGAAGGTGTCCTACCAACCTATCTCGCCTATTTTTTATTGACTTCCATAGAATCCTCTGTTCTCCTATTCTTTCCAATACCTCTTCATACCGTCTGATAATATAATAAAATAAAATAGAAATCCGTTTTGAGTAAAACGGTTTTGTTGGAATCTAAATTACATTATACGGTACAAAATACTTTTTATCTGATCGTGAGAGAATTTTTCATTTAAATAATATCGTTTTGATTATTTTTGTTTACTTTTAATTATTTACTGTTTCCATCGAAATCATATAAATTTTGACTAGCGATGCAATGGAAATCATCGTAACGGAAACAGAAGTAAATAGTAATGATTTTAGGCGATTCTTTAATGCTGTGGTCGTGCGCCCTTTTCGTAAATATTTTGTTGAAGGAGTCGTTGAAGGCTTACGCAGGTACCTGCACAACATGCAGCTTTGAAACATAAGAAATAAGCTTTTGTTAAGGTCCGATAAGTTTTCGTTAGAAAAAAGCGAACCCACATGCAGAAGCGGATGTGAAAATGTATGCGTAAGCGGAAGCAGATCTCTGCGGCAACACTAATTTTGAACCTATTCTGATAAGGAAAACGAGATGAAAATTTGGATGTTTAATGGAAGTGAAACTTTAAATAAAAGCATTTTAAAATACGTGTCTACTTAGGTATATGTATTGTGTATTAGTAATTGCGAGAACTATTCTAAAGGATTGGTTAGGTTGAAGATACAACAATGACATTTATTTAAATAAAGACAAGTGATCCTTATTTTGTATAGTATTCATACGTGTACTGTTATAATTTTCGCATATTTTCTAAACACAAACTATTGAAAATTCGTAGCTATTTTAGTAGAAATACAAATTGTGATTTTTTTACATATCAAATAGTTAGTGTATAAATTAGACAAGTAGATACTTTAACATAAACATAGTGTATAAGTAACGTTTCTTGAAATAACACTCTTTTTCTTTTTTCCAGAAAATTCATGTCCTGTCCTAGCGTCGGTGAGGTAAGAATAAAATTTAAGATTAATGCATGTTGTACTATAAAGAAAATATAACGGTTGATAAAAAATAATTATCTTAGTTTCCTAATGTATTTTATTTTAAAGTTTGATTATCGATAAGAAACCAACGCATAAGAGAAATATTTAAAATTATTTTTAAAATGACTTGTAGGTAATGATGCGATTAAGGAAAAAAGGATAATCTTCTAGTACATAAGTATGTACCTACTGCTACCATAAAATCCTGACGTTTGTTGATATTTATAAGAGAATTTTGGAACCTCTAATCAATGTACCTATATTCACAGCCACAGTTGCAATAATTGATAAATATTTGCAGTCAAAGGCGTATATACTATAGGAGGAGTCGTGCCTCCGTATGTTTTTTTTTTTAATTTTTCAAATGACTTATTTTTTTACGCAGTCGGGTTTTTGTTTTCTCTTACTTTAAGTTTTTATTGACGATTTCTTGTTTATAAATATTGTTTTGATGAGACATCAAAAATCTTAACTAGAATTGTACAGAGGAGGATGGAAGAAAAGGCGGAAGAACTATTAGGGGAAGATCAATTTCGATTTAGTAGAAATAGAAAAACGCGGTAGGTCATTTTGGCTTTACGGCTAACAATACAGAAAACAATAGAAAAAAGAAAGACGGCGTACATAAGATTTGGAGATTTAGAAAAAGCTTTTGACAATGTTAAATGCTTCAAGATGTTAAATATACTTAAAAATGTAGGGATGAGTTACAGAGATCGAAGGGTGTTACTCAGTTTGTATAAAGAGCAACAGGCAATTATAGATCTAGGGATGCAACGTAGAGAAGTAAATATTAGGAAGGGAGTCAGACAGGGATGCACACTGTCACCGCTATCTTTTAATCTATGCATCGAAGATGCGATCAACATCATTAAAGACAGGACAACTATAGGGATAGATATACAGGGGCAAAAGATTCGAATGCTTAGATTTGCAGATGATATAGCATCTAGCAAGGAGGAGTTAAAGGTAGCTTTAAATAAAATGGGAGCGGTATTGACAAAATAGTACTGTATGAATATAAACAAAAGTAAAACAAAATACCGGCATGCAATCCATTTCTTTTTACAATAAAACTATTACCTCACTTTAATTTCTCTTATTGCGAGATGCGTGCTGCAAGGATTTTGAACAGAAAGGCTGAAAAACTGCTAGTAACGGAACGTCCCGGAAAATCCTGGATATTTTTATTGGAAAGCCTATCAGTAAAAAGACTTGATCAAAGACATCTGTGATAACAAAAAAGAAAACCGTTCTTTATATTCCATAATAAGTTTCCGTGTGTTTCATTTTTTATGAACCATGTGAATGTGGAAACTTGTGTATAGCCATAAGGAAATTGTTTTTGTGTATTTCCTTTCTTTATTTGCTCTTTGATGAATGTTGGCAACCGTATTATGAAAAGTTTCNGCAAAGCACAAGATTTGGATGTCGCAGCATTTATTCAAAAATCAAAATTAATCATTCATTTTACATTATGTTATCATTAAGAAAATTAAAGTAGAAGAATTATCAAGTCGATGCTGTGATAACGTTCACTACCCAACTAGAATTTTGAGAGGGGTGCAGGTAGGGTCCCTAAGTGGGTAGCCCACTACCCTCTTGTGGGCCCCATGAAGTTGCAAGTAAAGGGCATATAACGCCTTGCCGTATTTGTGCATGATCAGGAAAGCGGGGAAGAATTATTGCTACCCAGTTAAAACTTTTTGGAAAAATGAACTTTATTTTTTATGAAAAATACAAAATTGAATGAGAAATATATTTTACCAACAAGAAACTGTTCACTTTTACATATGTAGCAACGGTATAATACATATTATTTCTTTACTTTCATTACTAACATTAAGATAAACCATTTTTTTATCAACATCTATGATTTCGTTTGCTCTTAAGTAACATTGTGTTATTAAGCTCTTTTGTATTCAATAATACTTTAAATTGCAATCGTTTTACTGTTATTCGATATGATTCGTCTGGTTTCAGTTATCTTATAATAACAACATCAGAAAGTACACTTGTTTGTTCGTTGCAAATCTAAAGGATTTCATTGAAACGACAACAGAATTGGGCAAGGGGATTGTTACCATTTTTTTAAAAGTTTTTTGATAATACCGAGGGTATTTTCAAACGGATTTGCCTCATCGAGTCTTCCAGAAGGTAAATTTAATTGTAAGTTTACACATGTATTAGTTTTACCCCTTAAGACCCATATGAAAAACCCATAAGGCAATCATCATTTTAGTATCACCACTTCTTTTGGCGATATTTTCATGAGGAATATACGGAGAAATCCCTATATTAGCATTCCCTTCGTTAGCCACATGAGGTCCGCACGTTGAATGGGGCATGCCCCTTATAAATACTAGTCGGGCGGTTCTAGCGTAGGTGTGTTTGTAAGTAC